TTTTTATACAAGCTCCGTGCATTATTTGATGCATTTTAAAATGTTAATATGTTCCCATTCCCGGCCGATCAGACCATTATGGGCCGGCCCGGAAAAGGTCAGTCCGCCGCCAAAAGGGGGGGCCGGGGCCGGGTGTGCCCCCCCCCTAAATCCGCGCCTGCTATTTATCAGAAAACACTAGAGAGATCTTTCTCAGATTTAGCATGATGGTCCCATGCTATTACCATATCAAATTTTGGGACAGATCAGAAAACCTAGATGGCTGACAGGCAGTGCAGCCATCTTGAATTTTGAGAGTTACTATAAGGATCCCGGTACGACTGCTAAAAAACTGTAACAAAGTATGAACACTGGGGTTTTAACTATAAACCTTATCATTCATTTCTTAAAAGAAATTTTTTGATCTTGAGGGACTTTGTTGATTTTTTTTTTAGATAAAATAGACAGTATATATATATATAACCAATAATTACTGTTCTGAGTGGGGAAAACCCTCCAGCTGCTAGACCCTGGAGGTGAGAGTGTTTAACTGATTGAGCTACCCGGGCGTGCTACAGTTACATCCAAAGGAAGTTTCCCCATGGTCCTTTTACAGAAAGTGATCGTGGGATCTTTGTCAAACAGATATAGGTTCCCAATGGTCTCTACCAGTGCATGTTTCTTGTAAGACTGATTAAAAAAAAAAGGTTCAAAAACAAAGGTTACCATCTTGGCTTTTGACAATTAAGAGTTGTAAGTGCTGTTTCCAGAAAGCATTGGAGGGACCATTCTCAACTTTCACATGAAGTTTCTCCATGGTACTTAGTTATGGGACTGATGATAAAACGAGGATGGCTGACAGGGCGGTTCAGTTTTGTTATCTCTAGATATTTCTCAGAAAGTACTGGAGGGATCTTTCTCAAATTTTATTTGTGTGTTCCTTTTGCCCCCCTGGTTTAAGGTACAATACCCCTGGCTTTAATGAGAATTCATCTCTCTTTGACGGCACCTCTAATTATGTAAGAATTACAAAGTTTTAGCATTTTACATACAATAACATTTGTCCGCGTGGCAAATAACACAACATTTCAAGATTCCTGTTTAGGATTTCAAACATGGCACTGTTACAAAACTATATTGTGTAATGAAATTGAAGAGCATAGAAGGAAAAACATCATCTGTTGTAGATCTGATAAATATCCTTTCATGGTGGATTTTCATTCTAGGATCAGTTTTAGTTAGCACCAGTCTGCCATTATGTCCATCCCACTTCTAGGATCAGTTTTAGTTAGCACCAGTCTGCCATTATGTCCATCCCACTTCTAGGATCAGTTTTAGTTAGCACCAGCAGTCTGCCATTATGTCCATCCCACTTCTAGGATCAGTTTTAGTTAGCACCAGCAGTCTGCCATTATGTCCATCCCACTTCTAGGATCAGTTTTAGTTAGCACCAGCAGTCTGCCATTATGTCCATCCCACTTCTAGGATCAGTTTTAGTTAGCACCAGTCGGCCATTATGTCCATCCCACTTCTAGGATCAGTTTTAGTTAGCACCAGCAGTCTGCCATTATGTCCATCCCACTTCTAGGATCAGTTTTAGTTAGCACCAGTCGTCTGCCATTATGTCCATCCCACTTCTAGGATCAGTTTTAGTTAGCACCAGTCTGCCATTATGTCCATCCCACTTCTAGGATCAGTTTTAGTTAGCACCAGCAGTCTGCCATTATGTCCATCCCACTTCTAGGATCAGTTTTAGTTAGCACCAGTCTGCCATTATGTCCATCCCACTTCTAGGATCAGTTTTAGTTAGCACCAGCAGTCTGCCATTATGTCCATCCCACTTCTAGGATCAGTTTTAGTTAGCACCAGTCTGCCATTATGTCCATCCCACTTCTAGGATCAGTTTTAGTTAGCACCAGCAGTCTGCCATTATGTCCATCCCACTTCTAGGATCAGTTTTAGTTAGCACCAGTCGGCCATTATGTCCATCCCACTTCTAGGATCAGTTTTAGTTAGCACCAGCAGTCTGCCATTATGTCCATCCCACTTCTAGGATCAGTTTTAGTTAGCACCAGCAGTCTGCCATTATGTCCATCCCACTTCTAGGATCAGTTTTAGTTAGCACCAGTCTGCCATTATGTCCATCCCACTTCTAGGATCAGTTTTAGTTAGCACCAGCAGTCTGCCATTATGTCCATCCCACTTCTAGGATCAGTTTTAGTTAGCACCAGTCTGCCATTATGTCCATCCCACTTCTAGGATCAGTTTTAGTTAGCACCAGCAGTCTGCCATTATGTCCATCCCACTTCTAGGATCAGTTTTAGTTAGCACCAGTCTGCCATTATGTCCATCCCACTTCTAGGATCAGTTTTAGTTAGCACCAGTCTGCCATTATGTCCATCCCACTTCTAGGATCAGTTTTAGTTAGCATCAGTCTGCCATTATGTCCATCCCACTTCTAGAATCAGTTTTAGTTAGCACCAGCAGTCTGCCATTATGTCCATCCCACTTCTAGGATCAGTTTTAGTTAGCACCAGTCTGCCATTATGTCCATCCCACTTCTGTTTCCACACAAATGACTTGAATTCCCATGGGCCGAATCTACTCAAACTTCATACAGTGTGTCCATATCAGAAGTCAGAAGTGCTCGTTTGAATTGCTTTCATGTCTGAAGGTCAAAGTGTCAGGTTGTTGTTACTATGAAAAAGGCATTACATTCAACACCACAAAAAATACCTTAGTGCTTAAATTGAAGCCATGTTATCCCTCAACTTAAACTTTAATGAAAGGAGTTTGTATACATATTGCTGAGAGATAGCCTGTTATTACTCTGCCTTTAACTTGTTTACAGAATGTTTGTATGTCTGAAAAGATACTGCAGCTGGGCCACAGTTGCATCCCCAGCAATGGACTGAGACCTGCAGAATTGTACCATGGAAATGCATTCAGGATCATCAAAATTGTTCTAACTTCAAAGTTTGGATTTTCTGCCTAGAAATCCAGTTCTGGAAAAAGAAACCAACCCCAGGAACCATTCCCTATCCATATCATTTGGAATCAAAATATTGATATAAGTCACCAATGACGAATATAATTATAATATTGACACATAACATACCTATGTATGTGTTGTGTAAGGTATATGTTTTTTTATTGAAGTTAAAATAATCAGTTGCTATAATGAGTCTGGTTTTAGCCCAACAAACTAAGTCTAGGAGTTAAATTTGTAATTTTGTATGCACATTTTACTGTTTTAAAACCAGTACCCATTAATTGGGGACAGTGTCTAGTCAACTCCAACCCATCCCTCCCTCCCTCCAAATTTCTGTATCACATTTGGCAGAGTCCAGTCCCC